GATCAGGCCTGGGTATTGCACTCAGTTCTGGGTCAAACTAGAGCTCAAAAAGGTGGACACCTAGTCAAGCTGGAAAGAACCGTGATCAGGTGACGGTAACATCTTCCACTTACTGGGCACTTGCGACGGTCCAGTTGCCATGGTGCTGGGTGGGCATACTCTTGGTCGCCCCCCCACAACAATCCCATGAGGGAGGGACTGCTATCATTCCCCATGTGCCATCTGAGAAGACTGAAGCATGAGTCAAGTCGTTAGAAAGTGGTGATGCCAAGGTGCAAAGTTCAGCACTTGTGGAAGACAGACTAGACAGCCAGGAGCAGAATTAGTACCCACTGGGAACTTCATAAGACCTGAGTGGAAGGAGGGCTTGTGAGGGAATGAGCTCCATCCCTGGATGTGTGAGTAAAGACTAGATAAACATCTCTAGGAACCTATGAAGGAAATGAAGGAATCTCTGGATAAGTCCCAGCTCAGTTGCCCTGCAAGCTCTGAGATGCTATCCTGGACTGGGAGGGAGGATGACTTGAACCCAGGAATTCCAGATTAGCCCGGTCAACATAGCAATACTATAAACCCAGAGCCCTGAAGACCCAGCAGGCCTTGCCTCAGCTCTCACCACACCTCAGGCCTCCCCTGGCCTATCTGAAGGTCCAAGGGTCCCGCCTGATAAATCCACCTCTGAAGAGGACCCCCTTTAAGATACTGGTCAGAGAGCACCACCTCACCTGACCTGGGAGAGCCTCCATGAGGCTGAGATGCCCATCAGGAGAGGCAGGTAGGAGCAGGTAAGGTCAGGCCTCTTCTCACACACCTGGCCTCTCCCACCAACAGAACCCCGAGCCATTTCTGAGGACTCAAAGTAGAGGGGGCAGGGTCAGTAGGTGGGCGTAGGGCAGGCCCCTGGGGAGAGCAGGCTCACCCAGTTGTGAACTGGGAAAGGCCCTGGCTTGGAATTCCAGAGGATTCCTGAGTGGGAGCACTGGAATGTGATCCCCTGCTGAGACTCCACCCACCTCTGTGGTGGGGAGTGCCCAAACCCGGCTCCCTGCAACCCACCTGAGGGAGCTAGGCTGCTTCAGGCCAGGCTTGGAGGGCGGACTGGGGGGACTCACGATTGGCATCCAGCCCCACCCCAAGCCACTAATTAACTTCATGGCCTGAGGCAAGTCGCTTCACCTCTTGACCGGCTTCCTCCTCTGTACAGTGGTGATAACATCCAGCCCGAGAGGCCTGACAGAGATAAATGGTCCATAAGGCCCTGTGGAAAGCTGACTGTGTTTATACCCTTGTCAAGTGCTGTTATTACCCAGGGGTGGGCTTGGGGAAGGCCCTCCTGGTCTGACCTGAAATGTCACTTCCAGACAGGATGCTGGATCCAGTCCTTTCCTGAGGGCAGCCCAGGGGTGGGCAGGGCCTGTTTCTAAAGAAGAGAACTGAGCACTCAGCAAACATTCGCTCGTGCCGGTGACCGTCTCAGTGGTGGTGGTGGTGGAAACTGATTCCATCTGCACACCACACCCTGACAGCAGGGCAGGCCCAAACACAGGGGCAGCAGTTGCCCCGCGGGGCATAGCTCCCACCCGCCTCTTCCCGCCAGGAAAGCTGTCCACCCACACCCCACCCTCTCTGAGAGGAAAATTCCTGCAGCAAGAGGTAGTGACCAGGGGAGGGGACTGGGAGGTTGGGGGTCACACCGGGCTGAAAGCCAACTCCTGGGACATGTCCCTTGGACTCTCCTAAGCCCCACAAATATGCTCACTGAAGCAATGATGACTTGATCTGGGGGGACCCTGGGGGTCAGACCAGGATCTAGGGACCCAGACGACAAGAGCAACTGCTCCTTCTTGAGTTGTTCAGCAGAGGAACCGTCTGTGGGGGTGGAGTTGCTACTGCTGGGTTGTTTTTCTCCTGGGGAAAGTTGGGTTGTTAACACGGTTTGCAGGAGTCTTGTTTGCTTCCAAAGTGGTATCCTAGCCAGGTGCGGTGGCTCATACCTGTAATCACAGCACTTTGGGAGGCGGAGGCGAGAGGATTGCCTGAGCCCAGGGGTTCAAGACCAGCCTGGAAAACTTGATGAGACCTCATCTCTACGATTAAAAAAAAAAAGCTGGGCATGGCAGCACGCGCCTGTAGTTCCAGCTACTTGGAAGACTGAGACGGAAGGATTGCCTGAGCTTAGCAGGTTGAGGTTATGGTGGTGGTGAGCATGCCGCTGCACTCCAGCCTGGGCAACAGAGGGAGACTCCAACTCAAAAAAAACAAAAAGCAGCCAGGCTTGGTGGCTCAGCCTGTAATCCCAACGCTTTGGGAAGCCGAGGTGAGTGGATTGCCTGAGTCTGCGGGTTTGAGACCCGCCTGGACAACTTGGTGAGACCTCATCTCTACAATAAATTAAAAAAAAAAAATCAGCTGGGCGTGGTAATGCATGCCTGTAATTCCGGCTACGCGGAAGGCTGAGGCAGAAGGATCGCCGGAGCCCAGCA